ATAAATGCACTTTCTTTATCTCTCTTTCCCATCTGCAAAATGAGAAGTAGAACGATTTGAGAGCATGTGATGTGATGCATAAGTGTTGGAAAAAGGAAATAAATCCCCCAACCATACCTAAATGTAGGAGGGAACAAACCTGCCTGGCTTTTAATACCTTTTTTTTTTTTTTTGACAGAAATTTTTGGCATGAATGTATCTATATAAAGCAGATTTCTTCTAAAATATGTGAAGTGTTTTCTATGCCAGTTTTTAATCTCCTTGATGGCAGGATATCTAGGCTTGTTTATCCCTGTCCCATAAATCACTGTTTCTGCAGTGATAAGGCATCTGTTCAGGACCAACCAGTAACATGACATAATATATAACTGCACACAGAATACTGTTTTTCTGCCCTTCACAGAGCTCATAAATATAATGAGCCACTGTTCCCGGGGTACTGTCCAGAAATCTGTGAGGTTTTTCACGTTGAAGTCAGACTGTTCTGACAGAATTGTTTTACTGGTCAGATCTGGATAACAGATTTTAAATTAGGCCCTGTAATTTCTCTTTGTGCCTCAGTCCTGTTAACTTTGTGTTGTCCTATTTGTTCTGTTTATTTTTGGTATTTTGTCTGCCCTCATCTCTGAGCTTTTAACATGCTACTGAGGTTTGTATTGGCCTACTCCTGATTTTGAGACCAAGATAGAATTCCTTTACATCTGATGGCAGTTGATGGCAGAAGCTTCTGGACAAAGTTGCAGAGAAACCAAATTTTGGTAGCAAATGTAATAACCTACTCTGGGGGAGAATATGTTTGATTCTGAAATATGAAAATGTATTTGAGAGGAAAATCTTCAGCTTTTGGTGCTTGGTACCAAGAAAGCTTTTAGTAGTCCTGGAGAGGAGATGGTTTTTATTTTGACTCCCTCTTAGAGATGACAGTGTAAAGTAGTCTGGATGTAATTGGTTTAAAATTTTTGTATATTTTTTTTATTTTGCTGCTGTTTGTCTATGTCATAGTCTCCTCAGTGAGGTAACTTAACTAAAATATTAGTAAATTACTGCAGTAAATGTGATCCCCCAGCAAAATGCTCAACATCAGCATTAAAACAAGTCTGGTGTTGCATCACTGAGATGAATGGTGAAATTGGGCCCGTCTGAGGTAATGCCCTGTGGATTGCATTACAGCCATCCTGACCTTTCCATAACAACTTCTGGAGCTTGCACATTACATTCACCCTACAGCTCTTTTTATAGCTGCTCCCTGCTCTTAATAATGCTGCAGCTGATGAGAGTGTGATTTCAACTTATTGAATTCCAGAATGTAAGTGGAAAAAAGCCCTGTAAAGGCATTTGTGGCAACTTACAACTAATGAGAGGCCACCATCAATATTTTTGGCAAACTATTGGAAGAAACTAGTTTGTATTCATTCTCCAAGCCTGGACAAATGATGTGATATATCTGATACCATTTTTGGTAACTGTTCTGTACTGAGGTTTTTGGAAAAGGGGCTATTATTATCTAGATACTCATAGACACTACAGTGCTTTTGATTCCCTGGTTTTGATTTTCTGGTTTGTTTATGTGCACTTTAAATGCTGGTAGAGGAGGTGGGAGGGAAGAGAGAATACTGTGCATATTACAGGGCACTTTCCAGTCAGCTGAGACAGACTGGTAAGAGACCTGATTACAGCTGGAGTCCTGTCCAAATAACTCTGTTGTGTTGTCACTTGTTAAAGGACTCACGCACTTCTGTGGGCACTTGAGGGAGTGTCTTAAATACTGCCTGGAGACAAAAGTGGATTTGAATCAGTGTTTACAGTATCTGCTACCTTTACCCTAGATAATTCTGGTTTTTATAATCCTATTACAGCTGCCAGATACTGCAGCATGTTAATTGAAGAAGGTGGTTTGCAGCATTTGTACAACATCAAGGAAAATGTCCACACTGATCCCCATGTCCAAAGGATTGCTGTTGCCATCCTGGATAGTTTAGAAAAACACATTATGCGCCATGGGAGACCACCACCATGTAGGAAACAGCAACAAACCAAACCAAACTGAAAGCTGCAGGTAGAGGAGTGTAAAGTATTGTCTCTGTAATAATCCTCTCTGATATGTGTGTAGTTGGAGTAACTTATAATATATTGGTCACCATTAAAGTGATTTGCTGGTAACTGTGGTACCCAAACCATGTGTGGTAACCTTGCTGAACGTCACCTTTAATGGCAACCTCGTACACAACTTGTAAAGGGTCACAGCTTGAGCTGGTCATGCCTGTAGGGTAAATGCTGGCTGCCAGGAGATGGGACTTGTACAGATCAATATGCACAGCTGGAAGGAAGACTTCAAGGAGTACCTTGTTTTGTGACTTCTGGGAGAAGAGGCTTTTCCATCCTTGTGATTGCTGTTGATAACACTGTTCACCAGTTTGGTGTTTGAATAGAACTGTGTGTGGTTGTGAGATCAACACTTACAGACTAAAACAAAAGTTCATGCATGCAGGTGACAGAGAGACTTGTAACTAAGGCGACCAAAATGTCCATTGTCTCTTAACCCTTCTAGACACAAATGGGGTCTTCAGCCTCCTTTTCCTTTTGCCTGCAAGCCATGCTCTTTTGTTTTCCTTACTGCTGGACAATGCCTTTTTACAGTTCATTTCTCCAGAGTCCTCCCTGCTCCTGTCAAGGTGGGGACCAGCATCACATTCAGGGAAAGGGGAAACCCACTGAAGTAAAGCAGTAGAAACAGAACTAAAATGAGACAGTACTAAAAGGATGTTTGAGAATTTAAATTTTATAACAAGAATGGGGTTTTGTTGTTGTGTGTGGTACCTTTCTTTTGTTTTTAGAATACTCATGGGGATAGGAGAAGGCTCATTAGAGCAAAATAACTGACGTGACTTCATCATGGAGTGGGTTGCATGTATTCATAAAAGGCTGGGATATTTGGTCACCTTATTTATAAGAGGCTAATGATTGCTCTCATTTTCTGTAAATATACTGTCAGTATTGTGCAGTGAATTATATTTCCAAGCCATCACAGTGAATGCAAAATATCACCCAATGTTCTGTGTAAGCCCTGTGTCAATTGCATTGTTTTGTGGAGTGTGAAATTTTACATAAAGATGCTAATTGTAACAACTTATTTCTTTCTTGGTTACCTTTGGGTTTCAAACCATGTGTTGAATTAAATATTGCACAGTGTACAGATGCCTGATACAATGCAAATGATGGAAGCAAACTGTGTGTCCATTCAAATTCAATTTAATTTCAGGTGTTGATTTTGTTTATCTGCTTAGTCTCCATATTTCCATGGCAACTGATTGATACTCAGTGACTCTTCTGTAAATATTGGGTAATTGAATTTAAAAAGAAAACTTATGTTTGATAGCTTACTAGCAGAAATGGCTTCTTCATGATGACCATATTTTACTATTTTTAAGTCCTTTCCCTCCCATCTCCCATCCTTCACATGAGAACACTGCCACTAATCTTCAATAACCTAATTAATGTGTCTTTCAGCAACTTCAAAAGGTACTGATCCAGTAATTTAATCAGTGTTGTGTAATTGTTTTTTGTACAAGAGTATAATTTTGGCTGGCATCATTTTCATCTGTGGATCTGGTTATATAAGGTTTTCTCAATTCCAACAGAAATTCAGCTGGCTGTAGCTTTGAATTATGAAGGTGGTTTAAAAATTAAAAACAGCCTACAGGCTTTTACCCACCACCCTTCTAAGATGTCTGCTATGGAATTTACATGAAATGGAACACAAAACTTGTCAAAATTGGTGTCAATAGAATGAATTTAAATCAATTGCTACAAGATTTTAAAATAAAGTTGACAACTCTCCTTACAGTGCTGTTTTTTCCTAATAACAGGAGAATTTGCTGAAGCAACTTAACTGAAAAAAAAATCTACTCCTCCATGCAGCACAAAATGCAAGGATGATGCTGGCATCAGGCCAGATGTCTGAGAGGCATGTCACTTGATGAAGTTCTGCAACCAGCAAGTGCTAAATACCCATTTTCTTTTGCTCCCCCACACTTCAGGCAATCAGTGAGCAAAATTCTTTCAAGCTGAAAACTTTGCATGCCTACAAGGTATAAATGCACTGTATCTATTTGTATATGCCACTTATAGGAAGGTCTCTTCACACTCCTGTACAGCTTCAGGAGTTTCTGCCAGGGTAGAATAATTCTGGAAACAACTTTTAAACTTTGTGTTCCACCTGTAGCAATTGCAGTCTTATGTGAAGGCTGAAAATCCTGACTGCTTTACCTTTGCAGATCTTTACATAGAAAATTTGTGTGTGTATAATTTGGTAAGGTTCCCACACACTTTTGGCACAAGTGAAACTGTGGTTTCCTTTGATACTATCATAGAATGAAGTTCCAATGTGGTAAGCCACATCTTAGTTTGATAACCTATAAAGCATTTCCTAAAACGACATTTGCTGATTAATTCACTTTTCCTTGAGAGCCCCAGTCTAGAGAGGTAAGAAGCTGTAGAGTTAAATTGTGTGGGACATTTTAGTGCTGGAGAACCTCAAAGCAGAGGGAGAAAATAACCTCAACTTCCAGTCATGAAACAGAGGAAAACAGGTGACAGAGAGAGATTGTGTGCTCAGGGTGTCTGGCATAGACTGATGTGATGGCCTTGTGTATCTGTGCACATACAGACCCTGTGTTTTCTCAAGCACTGGTTCCAAAGGGAGATGAGTTTGGGTTCCTGGAATGGGTCAGTGTTTGCATTACTCACAGCAGAGCTGGTGTGAAGGGCCACTGCTCTGTGCTAGTACTGCTTGTTCTGTCAAAGCAGTTGGAACAGCATTGATACATCTTTATAAACTGAAATTCTCTCCAGTGTTTGTTTTTCCTGTTTAGATTCACTATGTTTTCTGCCTTTTTAAAAATTTTCATTTGCTTATGGTGAGCCAAAGCTTCTCCATATTCCTTACTTGACATCTGTGTGAGAGCCATAATCACTGACTTCAGATGAACATGCTTTAAAGATCAGGTATACAAAGTTAAATCTTTATTTGGAGATTCATACAGAAAAACGATCCAGTGGAGTAGTTAGAAATGCAGTCCTAGGGAAGGAGTTAAGTGCACAGAATGGTGTCATAAAAATAATCCTAAGAAATCAGTGGATCCTCCTCAGTCCTGCTTTATCTCCAAAAACTCAAGGGGAAGCACAAAGCATTATTTGCCAGTGAACCGAGGTGGTCGTTTCTCCCTGAAGGCAGCCATCCCTTCCTGACGGTCTCTGGTGGGGATATTCTACATGAGAAGAAAAGGAAAAGAAAGAGGTATGTTTTCCATTTACAAGTCTGATGTGTTTTTAAGTCCTGGCTAATTTGGCAATAGTGGTCTAAGACTAAGATTGCTCTTTAAATGATGCAAAACACGGAACTTTATGTAATTAGGAAAAAAGAAGAGACAGGGTTGTAGTGTAACTCAAACACAAACCATCTAAGAAAAAACCCATAGATCTGTATAGAAAAACAGTTTTCCATAATCTTCATTATCTTAAAATATGCTGAGAGACATCATATTGGAATATTGTAACACCCTATACTGTTCCATTTGCTGAGAAAGGTGCATATGCTCAAAACTTGCTCCAAAGAACTACAGGAGGAATTGTTTTGAATTTATTAAAGTAAAACCATTTTTTAAACTCATTCTATAACTAACATACAGTTGTTCTTTTCAGGAATGAATTTTGAAGGCAGTTTACCTGGGCATAACACATCCCCTCAATAGCCATTCCTGATGCAATGTCAACCTGGGAAGGAGAGGAAAGGTGTGAGGTTTGTCTGAAGTACAGCCCTCAAAGCTACTTCATAGCTCTCAGTCACTCTCAAACAGGCATAGGAAGTGATCTTCGATATTAGAAGTACAGCGTTACTATCTGTGGGAAAAAAATCCTGCCATTTTAATTTTATCTTTAAAGAAATTTTTAAAAACCTCTGAAATAGTTTTAAATGTCTGATATAAAGAAAAATTTTATAACTCATCCTTTCTAAACATTTTTACTGTAGTAATTTGTAAGAGCTGCTAATTTTTTCATTCACCTCAGTATATAAACAAAAATAATTATTACCTCCATTCCTTTGTTTATTGCCAGTTTTCCCATTTTCACAGCAAATGGTGCCTTTATTAAAAACAAAAACAAAACCAAACCACAACAAATATTTTAAAATAATTAAACTCATATTAATTCATAATAGATGAATTGTTGTATTATGATCCTAGCTCCAAATGACATTATATCTACAGAAATTTGCAGTAAGTTAATAAGTATTTTGTTAAAAATCAATTTGGTGTTGTCTGCAGTTCACAGATGGACACGGTGTGAGGTTTCAATGTGTCCTGCAGATCTGTGTGGCTGCAACTGGGGGGTAAAACTGTGCTGTGGGTTAAGCAGCTGGATGGTAACATTTGTTCCTGCAGAAACTGCATCCACAAAAAGGAACAGACTTAGAGACTTAAAGATCAGGAATCAAGACTGCAGTATTTCAGAGAGAAGAATTTCAGGTGTTTGCTCTCTCTTAAGAGGAGTACAAATGCTGTCTTTACCTTGGTCCCATGAACAATGCACTTACCTGGGGCAGGATTTCTTTAGCCAAAGTTAAAGCTCTCTGGTAAGCTGCATCTCCCTCGCTGTTCTGTGGCACTGAGTGATTTACCAGCCCCATGGAGGCTGCCTGTTCTCCATCAATCTGTCTGCCAGTGAAAATGAGTTCCTTTGCAAGACCTACTCCAACACATCTGGGCAGGCGCTGGGTTCCACCTTAGGACAGTGAAAACACCATTTTCCATGTCTGACAAATGCCCCAGGACTCTTTTGTCTCCTTGTAAAACCAGGAGGCTTAAAAAATATAGGGATCATATGTTTCTTTAATAACTACTGGCTGAATATGTTTACATTTTTAGACATATCTGAAAGGTTTTAGTATTTTGATAAAAAAGAAAATATGTAAAGGGCTTTTCCTAAATTCAGAGTAAGTCTGAGACAAGATGCTACTTCTAATTTACATTCAAAACACTTCAAGTGTTCAAGAACACACTCTGGCAAAATATTTACAATACAGCTGAGAAAGTGAGATTTAATGAATATTAATTAAGGTTTAATGAAGGTTACCTGCTCCAGGCAGAAGTCCTCGTGTGGTCTCAATAAGGCCCATTTTAGCTGATGAAGCTGTTAAAAAAATAAATGTAGAGTTAGCTACATTTTGATTTGTATAACTAGAAGTTTTCCAGGTTGAACTGATCAATAAAATTAGAAACTGTCAATACTGAATTGGAACTCCATTTCTCCAGGTAGCCAGAAAGTCTGAATACTACAGTACTTATTCAGTGTCTGTCTCAACTCTGCTTACCCCATTGTAGCAATTTTAGCTAGAAAAATGAACCTCGGGTCCCTGCTATATAAAATATAAAGGATGGAAGCATGGAAACAGAAGAAATGTCTTCCAACCCAAACTGATTTAAGCTGGGAAAGTTAGATCTAGCCAGAGTATATCTGATCCAGTATTAAGTTACAATAACTATTCAATCCTATTAAGAAACAGTATTCTAAAAGAATCCAAATCTTACCTGAAAATAGACTTTACTTTTTAAGCACAGGAACTTTAGTTACTATTTGGAACTACTTTCTGTAGTCACAATTTCTGTACAACCTTCTGTTAAATTTCTCTCAAGCTTCTGGATTCCATTAACAATCCACTGTCACGTGCTTAAGTTCTCTTTAAAATGCGGCCATCACTTACCAGGAGATTGCTACACTGGGCAACACAAACCTGCCACTCGGAGGTCACAGGCCAGGGCCAGCTCTAATCCACCGCCCAAGGCGTAGCCATCGATTGCAGCGATCGTGGGCACGGGCAGGGCAGCTACGGGAGAGAGCACAGATGGCACAGTTGTGTTCCACACGTTCTGTTTCACATGGCCCTCGAATGTAAAGCCTTACGTTCTAAAGCTTTCTGTTCAGAATTGCTCTAGAACTCGTTTTCTTCCGCCACAAATTTTCGGTCTGGAAACAGTAAAACTGATCTTGCAACTCTCCCTTCTTTGTAAGAATGCAAGACATGCTTCTTCCATGCAAAGAAGCTTGCAAACACAAAGTACTGCAACACGAAACAGGATCAGTCGTCTCCTTGCAAATTTATGACACGAATATTCATCTGTTGCAGTTAAACAGCCAAAGAGAAAACACCATCCCTAGGCCCTCTCATAACGCTCAGTGTTTGTGGTGCTTTTGTTAGCCAAGGCTCCTGAAAACAGGAACAGTAGACACTGTTTAACTAGGTTACCTCATAGTTGAGGAACTTGATCTAACTGGAGATTAGTTGCTTGATACTTTTTTAAATACTCAGGCAGCTGGATGCAAACTTCAGAGGTGAACTAGCTCTCTGCTGTAGCCACCCCTCTGACCGCTCCTGTCATTTTTAAAAATTATTACAATTCTGATTGGTATTTTAGACAGATTTGACTTTGGTATTTCTTCCTACTGAGAGCAGAATAATTCATAAATAGGGGAAGAAAATTAATTGCAGAAGTTCATATGCCTTTTGCAAAGAAAAAGAAAAGGGAGGTGAGGGAATTACAGATACAACCCCCCTCCCAACATTCCACAAATCCATTTAGCAAATCCATTCAGAGATTCAAATCCATATTCTTAGGTCTGCCATATTTTGAGTGTTTCTGAACATGTACTGGAGTGGAACAACAAACACAGCACTTGCCTCCCAAGGATTCCACAGAAGTGTGGAATAAATCAGTGGAGCAGGTATTTATTACATAGGTGTGTATGTGCTTTGTTGTGGATAAGAAATGCATCTTATCCTTGGAGGGGCAGCAGGATGGTTGGTATTTAATTCTAATTGGATCTTTCTTTCAGGCAGAAGCTGAAGGCTTCTCCTAGGTGGATAATCTGCTGGTTATCCCCTCCTACAGCATTTCTAAATGGTTCACTACAGGTGGTCTAGGATAAATTTTCCAACTGATATAATCCTTTACCTATTTCATCCATAAGATTTCTCAGTCTTCTAACAAACTCTCCAACTTCAGCATCATCCATCTTCGCACGTTCCTTTAAATCTGCTCCTAAATAAAGGAGAAAAAGGTTAGAGTACAGGAAAAGACATCTGAAATTTCCCTCCTGTCCCTCTTGGAGGACAGACCATTTAAAAAGTTTTGGGATACAGCATTCCAGTTAAGTAAGATCCATGGAAGTTGGGGTGTGGACATTTGGGCTGCAGCAGTAACACGGGTAATCCTCTGCATCCTTTTGACAGGTTTATTTTTATTTCTTTTAGCACTCATTTCCAACTGCTTTTCTGCACGATCTCATTGGCACACAGCCCTAAGAGCCACCACATTTTTTGAGAATAGTTTTCAAAGCCTTTGCTACTCACCTGCACAAAACACTCCTTTCACCTGGCTCTTGAACACCACCACCCGCACCTGCTCATCAAAGCGGAGCTGATCCAGGGCACTGAACAGCTGAGGGAGGGAGTGCAGATGGGAGAAGAAAAAAATTAGGCATGTGGATGGGTATATACACTGAAATTATAGCAAGTTCCTAATCTTTGATAGAAGTTTTCAGATTTTTTCTCTGCAGGTGCCAGAAAATTCATGGAAATCGTGTAAGTGGAACCTGCAGGTTTTTCCAGACAAATTCAGAATGACGCATTTTCCTGTCTCTTTTTTCCTTCCACACAGAGATGAACCTTTGCTGTACCTAAAACTTTTTTCCTGTCCAGGCGTGAGCCAGACTTCCTCTAGGATGTGTCATCCTTGAACAGATCACCTGCTAAGGTGTGACAATGAGTATGCTTTTGTTGTAATGATACAAGTAGGAACCTTAACTTACATCTGAGTTAACTTCAATAAATTAACTCGAATTAGCTAACTTAAATAACCCAGATATCTCTGTCTACAGCTGGGGCAGTTCTGTTTTTTTTCAGGTTCACCTGCCTTGCCCCAGTGCCATCTCCCACTGCCCTTCATCATGAGATAAGATTTTTTTTAGATTTCCCACATCTATTCTCACTGTAGTTAGTTATTGGTCATGGTTGCAAACACGCTTACAGGCCAGGCCCATACTCACTTCATTTACAAATACTTTTCCCAGTGAATTTCTCGCGTGGGGTCGGTTCATTAGGATTTCAGCAATACCTTAGTAATAGGAGACAATTTCAGTTATACTTCATTTAGTTCTCTGACATAATAATTCAAATGGGAACAATATCTGTGTATGCTGTGTCTTTGCCTTCCTGAAAATGCATATAAAGTATATTCTAAAACAATCAGTTATTTTAAAACTGGAGGTGGCACACCATGTCTATAAAATCCAGTTATGCAGATCAACTGTAAAATTCTGTAGCACTGTAAAAGACTATGAGTAAGCAGACTTTTAGAAAATGAACAGGACATCCAAGAACATGTATCTTAAAATCACTGCAGAAATGGGAAAAAACCCCAAACAACAAACCAAACCCCAAATGATCCATCTTAGGTTTCTCCTTTGAATGTTACTTAATGTATTTTTTTGGTACAGTTTTAATGTGTTCAAGTACATTCCCTAATGAAGGAAACCATCCTCTTGGGATTGCTGTTTGCATGAGAATAGCACAGGCAGGTCACTCAGTTCATATTCCAGAACCGTTTTGAAATTGAATTCCATTTAATTTCAACATTATAAGCTCATTAGCTGAAAGGACTCCACTCAAAGTTCCTAAGTCCAAGCAGAAAAACAAAACCACATCTACCTACTTCTTCTTTGCACGTGATTTGTAAATTATTATTCAATGGCGTCTGTATGCTTTGGATCGAAAAAACATCTCTTATTTCCTTGTCTGGACTCTTGCTCACTTCCCAGGCTTAACACTGGAAGATGCTGTTGCTGTGCTGCAGGTTCACAGCTGTACCTCGCACCTGGCTTGCTTGGTCTTTCTGCCTTGCTGGAATTCTGTTTATTCTCTGCCTATGGCAGTGGCCAGCTACTGAACCAGAGATGTGTCACATTGGAACGGAGACACAAGCAAACAGTTGGCACCAGCAAAGGAAATTTACAGCTGGTAATTACTTATTATCTTTGTAACCAGCGAAATACTAAGAACTGTTTATAAGCTCCTGCAACAGTTACACAGAAAGTAAATTAATTGCAATCTGAGCCAAACCTCAAACTGCTTCGTGGCTCTCATGGATAAATGTGCAGAGACATGCCAAGGTTCTGTCCTACCTTTATCACTGCACGTTAGTGCTGTTAGAAAAATCTGAAGTATGCAAACCAGAACTTCCTGCGTTGAGGTCTCCTGCACACATAACTTTAGGGGAAAAAAAGTATCTAGCTATTCATTCAGCAACAGCCTTCTTGCTAAAAAGTATCAAGGCATAACTGAAAGCAAAACAATGAGCGCCCCGGGCTCGGCAGGGCTGTCAGCGCCGCTCGGGCTGCTCCCCGCTCACGCCAGGCCGAGGTGTGGCCAGCAGGGACTGGCAGAAGCGGAGCCGCGGTCCCGGTCCCGGCACTCACCGCCGCCGGCCGCGCTCAGCAGCACCTCCGGGCCCCGCTGCGCCCCGGCCGCGTCCGCCCGGCCCCGCGCCCCGCGCAGCGCCGCGGGCACCGCCCGCCACAGCCGCAGCATGGCCGCTCTGGAACGAACACCCTCCGCCGGGCCGGGCCGGGCCGGCCGGGCCCCGCCTCCAGGGAGTCAGCTGCGCTTACACAGCCCGCTGCTGGGGAAGGGTTACACAGGGGAAGCGCACACAGCCCGCTGCTGGGGAAGGGTTGCTTACAGGAAGAGCTATGCGGTGGGAGACAAGGTCGCTAACACAACCACCACCGCCAGAAGCTTGGCTGGAGTTGGCACCGGCTGTGCAGGATGCCGCCAGGAGATCTGTGGAAGGCAGGAGGTGATTTGCTCTGCCCGAGCCGTGGAGATCCTCGAGGATGACAGAGTAAGGGAAGGGGAAGTTGAGTGGATGAAGGGAAACGTGTATTGATGGAGGGTCAGATGTTCAGCTCTCAGTGTAAATGCATCTGTAGGTAACAAGCTGCATTTCGGGAAAAGAGAATGGTCGCGTCGAGTATCCGTCCCAAAGACATCTCTGGAGGAAAAGAATTACAGAAGCACAGGATCAATTGGATTGGAAAAGACCTTTGAGATCATCAAGTCCAGCCTATGACTGATCACTACCTTGTCTCCTAGACCATGACACTGAGTGCCATGTCCAGTCTTTCCTTAAACGCCTCCAGAGATGGTGACTCCAGCACCTTCCTGAACAGCCCATTCCAATGTCTAATCACCCTTTCTGTGAAGAAATTCTTCCTAACGTCCAACCTAAACCTCCTGTAGTGCAACTTCCTGTCCCTTGTTCGCAGGGAGCAGAGCCTGACCCCCACCTGGCTGCACCCTCCTGTCAGGGAGCCGTGGAGAGCGGGAAGGGCCCCCCTGAGCCTCCTTTTCTCCAGGCTGAGCTCCCTCAGCTGCTCCCCACAGGACGCGTACTCCAGACCCGTCACCATCTTCTCTGCCCGTCTCTGGAGAAGCGGCGAGCTTCATTGCACCTCGGCTTTGGAACAACGTCGGACAATCGCCAGGATAGGGGAATTCAGGGGGATAAGCTGGGATGTTTGCATGACTGGCAGTGGCTGCGCTATGGACAGGGACACCCGGCCAGTGCCGCGAGGAGGGCGCTGCACCTTTAAGGGGCGGGTCTATGGGGGCCCCGCCCTGGCCCTCTCTCCGCCCCCTCGCTGGCCCCGCCCCCGGTGTCGCTGAGGGCCCGCGGGACGCGGCGGCGGCAGCAGCAGGGGGAGCAGGGTTTGTCCTGTCATCATCGCCATCATGCAGCGCCGGGTGTTCGTGGTGGGCGTCGGCATGACCAAGGTACCGCCGCCCTCCCTGACACCCGTGTGTGCGCGGGGGGACGCGGCCCGCGCGAGGCCGGCCTCGGCGGCGCTCCCCGGCTGTCCCCTGCTGGCGCTGAGGGGGAAGCTGCTGCGGGAGCTGCCCGCGCCCACCCTGGCGCGGCTGAAGCCCCTCACGGGACTCGCTGCCACCTCAGGAGCGCACTGGCAGAGCCCGAGTCCGGTCTCGGCCCGGCGGCAGCGGCCCCGCGCAAAGTTCAACCTTGCTCGGGATGTGAGGGGGGCCGGGCCCGGCCAAGGTGAACGGCGTGCTCCACAGAGCCGGTCGATACAACAGCCCTGCAGCGGGCACAGTGTCCCCATGTCCCCGTGTCCCCGTGTCCCCCCAGCCGCTGACCCAGGGCCCATCCCGGGGCAGGGGCTCGGGGAGGGCAGGGCCCCGCAGGGTCTGTTCTGAGGCGTTTCTGTTCCTGTCCCTTGGCTTGTGAGCGCACAGTTCGCCCCCTTAGCTCCTCCATAGCTCCCCTGGAGCCCGTGGTAGCCAGGTGGCCGTGGGGCTCTTCTCCCAAGTAACAAGTGATGGGGCAAGAGGAAGTGGCCTCAAGTTTCCACAAGGCACGTTTGAAGTTAGAATTAAGATTAAGTAAAACTCTTCGCCCAAAGGGTTGTCAAACCCAGGAACAGGCAACCTGGGTTTGGCAGTGCTGAGGTAACAGTTAGACTTGATCTTTAAGGCCTAAAGGATTTTATGATTTTCAAAGAGGAACAGTAAAAGAACCATTTTTATCTTTGATACATGAATCTCAAGACAACTTTGATATTTGTCAGAGTAGTCAGAAACTCCTCCCCTTGGCACCTTTTAAATAATAGCTTTTTGTCTTGTGGCTGCATGGGTGTTTCTCCAGCATGCGATGTGATAGGGAAAGGATTGAAAAGTTAAAGACAATTCTGTTAATTGTGTTTATTGGACTAGATCACGGAGTATAGTAATATAAGTTATTGAGCTCACTGGTGATATCCTCATGGAAGAGACAAGTAAACCTGCCAGACGCCACATTGGATCTTAAGTATTTTATGATGAAATCTTTTAGAACTGTATTGCTTCTATTTGATTTAATGTTAATGATGTAATGACTGCTAAAGTTTGCTATATCTTCTCACAACAACAGTCCATGTTTCCTGTGTGTGTAACCGTCAGTTCTCTAGTGCTCTGCATTTTCAGAAGTGGATCATCTCAATTACCAGTTGAGCATGACTTGAGGAACTGTCAGTACTCTTCTCCTCTGTTAGCCCAAGTGATGTCAGTCACTCCTACAGACTTCTATAATGATCAACTCACCAACTGTTTTTTCTTATGACCTTTGCTGTCTAATCTCATGAAAGAAGGCACTGCAGGAAATACAGCTAAGGGGTACAAATGGCTGGAGTCAGGAGGATAAACAGAAAGAGGCCACAAATTGATTTTTGTATGCTCATAGAGGATATCAAATAATTTGTGGGATTATAAATAGTTAGCATGAGGGTTTCTTTTAGCAGTGACACTTTTTGTTAGTGATGTAAAAATGCAAACCACTACCTTGTGGTGGTCTCTAATAATTCACACTGCAAAGAAAATAGAAATGCCACCTCTACTCCAATGGTAAGGAGTAAGGTGTGATCAATTCTCTACAAAGAACAAACATTGCCTTGTTACAAACAGTAGTATAACAAAAAAAAAGTGGAAGGGAGATATTTATCAAAGCTTCAGTGATTATTATGACGTGTATTATGATGAATTGGTGAAGATCACAGTTATTCTCTGTTTCACCCACAGGCTTTGGACAGGATTATTATCCATCTCCATAGTCATGGATCTTCTTTAACACTGACTAGAAATAGCCCTCAGCTCCCATAAAGTTGCACTATTTTCTCTTTTTAGCCATTGTGGGGTCTGGCAGCAGCACTTAGGAATTGTAAAGATTTTCTACATGCACTTTTGGGTGAATGAAATTACATTGTTTGCATTATTTAAAACTTCTTTCTAAATTAAATATAAAGTTTTTAAATATGCCAATTTGAGCAAAATATGAGTTAAATCTCACTATGATTTATTCTCAGTTTGTTTTTCGTCCTTTTCTCTTGCCAGTTTTCAAAACCTAGTGAGAAGAGTGCTGATTATCCTGACATGGCTAAGGAAGCAGGTAATTTAGTAATAAAGCATTTTGTTTGATTGCTGATGCTTATTTTAGGTCTTATAGCCAATATTTTTATTACATGTATGAAGGAAAAGCTACTGTTCAATAAATAGATACACCTAAAAAGCAGATTTAAAACTCAGACCACTTTCACCAAATCCATAACTGACCTGTTCAGGTCAGCCCTTCCAGGCTGAAGTCAGCAGGATGGTTTAAAATTGGATTGTGCACTTTAAATTATTTAATACTTATCTATATTATTCAAAACATACTCTCATTGGGACGAACGGCCTTGGTGCATGAACACAAAATTGATTGGATGAAATTTTCTGATAAAGAAGCTTGTTCAGAACTCAAAATACTGTGAAATTACCCTTAAGAGCATGAAGTTGTCCCTATGAGGTACTAGACTATATTAACCATTTGCACCATACAGTAAGGAATTTCTACAACTCTAATGTGTGAATACTCTACAAGGTTTGCTTGTTATGGTTGTGAGAGCTGCTTTTTTATTTAACCTTCAATTTTAAACTTTTTTCCAACTTTTAAACTGTTTCTTAGGCCAGGCTGCTTTAGCTGATGCTGGGATTCCTTATTCAGCAGTGAAGCAAGCATGTGTGGGTTATGTCTATGGTGAGTACTGTTTGATTGGGATGTGACTTCTGTGACAATTGCAGACATCTCTGTGGATAAAGATGAGGAGTGCCATCAATAAGCTTTCTTTTAAGGGGAAATCTATTTCCATTGCAAAAAAATTTTTCCATTTACTTTTCTTCTGGTTCTCTGTTATCAACTGTATTGTGGCATCTGAAGTAGGGTCAGTCTGCTGTGATACCCAGAGCAGCTCCCAAGCCACACCTCTATGCCCCTTCTGTCCAGTCCAGTTATGTCCCTTTGATTGACAGCCTGTGAAACAGAAACAGGACAAACTCCTGGTTTTAAAATCTGAGGAGTTTCATTTTGTTTCTGAGGTTCTTTACTGTGGATACCTGAGAGCTATACTCAAGGTGACAGCTGAGAAGTTCAAGTTTACAGTTTAATTGGTAGCACTGCACACACATGGCAGGATTTATTTTTGTTGAGTTTGTACCTTATTTTAATGTTGTGTTTCTATTTGAAGGTGACTCAACCTGTGGGCAGAGGGCAATCTACCATGGTCTAGGTCTAACTGGCATTCCCATCATCAATGTTAACAACAACTGTGCTACTGGATCCACTGCTTTGTTCATGGCCAGACAGCTTGTAGAAGGAGGTGGGTTGTTTTGCTCTGTGCCCATAAGAGATTGTTGGGATGCAGTGGGGTGGTGTATGTGGATGGGCACGTCTTTTCCTGTGTCATGAGCTGCATGAACCTAGTCAGTTCTGCCAGCTACGTGTTCCTGCAATTATTGCTTGGAGCAGTGCAGAACAAGTGGCATTATAGGACTGCAGGCACCAGATTCTTCGGGATGAAAAGAAGAATCTGCCAAAAAGCTTAGCATTTTCTTTTAGTTTGAAGTTAATGTGAGTGTTTAACTAACACATTTTTGGAAGGGAGGGGAGAGAGCAGACTGACAGACCATTCTTTGAACTGGCAGATGAGTATTTCCTCCTGTTTTTGCAGTTCCTTTTTGGACTTTGATACTTTCTTGCACTGATGCTGATGTTTCTGTGTGAGAGCTATAGTAACACTGTGTATGATTGTTTAGTATTTGTAGGTGAGACACAAATGCTTGGTTGTCTATGAGAGTTGCTGTCAGACAGTTAAAAATAAACCCCCTATCCTGTAGTGATCTTTCATTCTTAGGAATCAATATCTTTGTATCAATATATTGTCCATCTTAATTTGATTCTTTCAAAAATGAAGGAGGAAGGAAGAGCAGCTGGTAGGTGTTTGTGTACATACCTTGTAAAGGAATAGTTCTAAGGACTTAGTGTCATTTATAATTGCATCCAGCTTTAAATAGCCACACATTTTATTTTAAGGTTTGGCAGATTGTGTTCTGGCACTCGGCTTTGAGAGGATGGCAAAAGGATCTCTTGCTTCAGGTGTAAGTGTCTGAAATACTTGATATGTTTTGTGTTTGTACATGAGATACACTTCCTCATTCTCTGAGATGTATTCTCCATAATTCCACTTGCTTTACTGTGTTGCTGTAGATGATGACA